GATGGACTGTGTTGTTGGAGAATTACTTCCATCTTGCGGTTTCCAGAATTTGCGCCAATAAGTCTGAACAGCTTGTATGCTTCCTTTTGATTGTCAATGATCACCTTCAAGTAGTCTTTGGTCACTACCTGATTTGCAGAAGCTACTGCTAGGGCTGATCTGATGTCCATTTGGAGAAGGGACATCTGTTTTTGGAGACAAACTGTGACACTCGCTATTTGCTCTTTGACTTTGTTGATCTCTTTGAGTTGAAGTTGACTGTCAGAGGCATATATTTCCATTGTGTTGCTCACAGTTTCACTCAATAGAGAGATAATCTCCAGAGTCTTGTGCACTGATTTGCTTATTTCTTTGAGATCTGCGCTGTGTTTTCCTTCAGATTTCTCTATCAGCTGGGTGTGCCTGACTTCCATTTGCTCTATCTCTTGCCTAAAGGAGGCATGTTGAGATGCTAGGGCTGATTCAATCAGCCCTTGGACCTTCTTTGTCCAGATTTCCGGTATCTCATCCGGAAGAGTAGGGGTGGAAGAGCTGTGGAAATGAAAATTGGTTACCTGATGAGATGGTGGTGTTCTTTGGAAGAGTTGAATAGGAAGAGATTTAGCATCTTCTTGTACATCTTCTTCATCAGTAACGTTCAGTGTTCTTTCAGACTCTCCTTCTGCTTCAAGCGCAAAATTTGATATATCCCTAGAGAGGGAGTCTCTTTCTTCAGCTATATTCTCTTCTTCAAAAATGGCTACTGGAGTTTGAGAGACCTCTAGTTCTGCCATTTGAGTTTCCTTTTCAGCTTCTCCTGAATTCCTTTGTGCTTCAACAGCTTGCTCCATTGTTTCTGGAAGAGCTGACTGTTCTGGAATTTCTGCTGACTTTTCCGGGATCTCAATTTCAGCAGGATTGGAGATCTCACAAGGAGTGGTGAGAATCTCCAAAACTTGAGATTGGATTAGTGGCTGAAATTCTTCTTCTTCTGCTGTTTCCTGGTTCTGTTCTTGTGGGGGTGAGGTTGCCTTCTCTTCTACAACTTCAGTTAGAACCATTTCAGAAACATGTGAGGTTTCCGGAAGTGTTTGGAAATCTTCAGTTGCTGCTTCCAAAACACCTTGTGCTTCAGAAGTGAAAACCACTTGATCTTCTGTGTCTTTTGAGAAGACTGACTTGAAGACTGCATGATCTTCATCATCTGCTTCAAAGTCTGAAACTGGTGTGTTGGCCAGGTATTCCAGATGCAAGTCTTCAGGATTCCTTTGCCATACCTAGTAGTCATCCAAAATTTGTTCACAGTTGTGGTTGACTGGTATTCCTAAGCACTTTTTGATGATCTTCTCATTCTTCAGTTGTTGTTCCCAATTTAACAGTTGCTCTGCTGAATTTCCAACTTTCCAGGCTTTCCAACCATAGTAGAGCTGCCAGAATTGGTTATCTGCATCATCTCTTTGAGGTTGAGGTGATGAGGTTGGAAGGCTTTGGACTTGAGGAATTTCTTCTTCAAGTAGTTGAGGGCTCCGGTTTTGAGCAGAGGTTTCCTCAGCAGGTTCCTTCTCCTTCAACTCATCTGGATTGACATTTCCAGATGTTGATAGAGAGTTGATCTTGCTCTTCTTCTTCCTTTGAAGTTCTCCTTGGTCAGAGGATTCTTCTTCTTCTTCAAGATTTATTGGAGCAAGATTCTGTGGTGCTTCAGCACTGGGAGAGGGAGACACTACATGCTTTCTCTTGGTAGTCTTTGCGAAATTGATGAGTGGAACATTGTCTGATGAGCTTTCTTCTGCAGTGGCACTAGCGCTAGCTCTGTTTTCTTTGGAGGATAAGTAGTATAGCCAGTATCTGGCTTCATACTTTTTCCCTTTAACTGCAGCGCCCATAGATTCCAAAATATGTCCAATATACAGACCTTGACAGAGATACTTCTGATTGTGCTTTCCTAGATGTTTTGAAATGGATTTGAAAAAGTGTGCAGCCCAGTTTACCTTAGTTTTGGTAATGAGAGAGTTGATGATGAAGGCTCTCTCCTGGGTGATGTCATCGGCATGACCTCCACTTCCACACTCGAGGCAAGCGATGACCAGTTCCAAAACCAACTTGTAATCGTTGTTTAGATCTGCTTTCTTCGCTGGGCCAGAAGGAACTTGCACAGAGATTCCAATGATGTTCCAGTCCAGATTTTTGACTGGAAATTTCCCAACTTCAACTCCAGAATTGGGAAGGCGAAGCTTTTCTCCCAATTTCTTTTGCGAAAGCTTCACTTTTGTACCTCCAAGAGTG